TTGCTTTCATGTATATACCTAGAGGCGGAATTACTCGATCATATGGTGAGTCTGTGTTTAACCATGTGAAGATCTACCAGACTTCTATCGAAGTGCCTGCACTTTTTACCAGCAAAGGATGTGCGTTCCAATTTGTCTGCATTCTAGTAAACACTTGTTTTTTTTTTATTTTCATCAACCTAGAAAACTTTATTTTGTTGAGAGAAAAAATTTTTTGACTTTTAAAAGCATTTATCTTTCTACAGGTAGGCATTAGTCAGAGAGATTTGAGCTAAAACTAGAAACACACTCCAAAACTTCTCATCTGATATGCTATAGATGATGTGTTTTTTTCATCCCCTATGGTATTCATCATGGCTGGTCATGTGCTTTGGATGTGCTGCTTCAAGACTCTCGAGTTTGGAAGAGGGACCACACTAGGTGTGTTGTCCTGCCTACTCTCATCACATCAGTACTTCTTTAGCTGTGCCTGAGAGCCCACCTACTTCGGCTTCAGCAGCTGTACTACTCCTCTGTTCTTAGGGCAGCCCATTCCATTTGCTGTAGGCTCCGGTTATGAAAGGTATTCATAAAGATCCAGAATCTACTTACCTCGGAATCCCTGGCTCTGTTCCCAGAAGTGTCCTCTGAAGCCATAAAAAATAGATCTAGTCTTTTCCCTGGTTATTTTATTTTAGGTCTTCCCTTTGAACTATTCTCACAGGTCATTGTTTCTACTTTTTCAAATTTGGCAGCTGTCTTTGGTCTAAGTCCATTGACATCCTATTTTTATTTTATTTTATTTTATTTTTGGTGTTGGGGATTGAATTCAGGACCTTGTGCTTGCAAGGGAGGTGTGGTGCCACTGAGCTAAATCCCCAGCTCTGTATCCTATTTTTATTTGTTTTGTTTTGTTGGTTTTTTGAGACAGGGTCTATGTAGCCCAGGCTGGCCTCGAACTCACAACGATCCTCCTGCCTCAGTCTCCCAAGTGCTGGGATTATAGGCATGTGCCACCATGCCCGGCTGTGTATACTATTTTTAAACATGTCCTTTCAAACTAAGCATATTATGTACTTTAGGTGACAAGAGTGTGTTGACTGAGCCAGTGTATCACCTTCTTGAAGTGAGATCATTTCTCTGGCCTAATAAATGCTTAGTCCTTACTGAACTCATGGTGGAACTTATTAAAACTCTCATTTCTTGAACTTGTAATGCAGTCACAGGATACAACATTTTTTAAAAAACACTGTCCTCTCTACTCCTATTCCCAAGGCATTAGCTCTACTTTCTGGGGGCAATGCTACTAGTTCTTACATATTAAGAGTTGTACATGAGCCAGGTGTGGTGGTGCATGCCTGTAATCCCAGCACTCAGGAGGCTGAGGCAGGAGGATCGATTGCTGTGAGTTCGAGACCAGCCTGGGCTACATAGTTCCAGGTCAGTCTCAACTACATAGTGAGACCCTGTCTCAAAGGAAAAAAAAGTGGTACAGCCATCACCACTATTCAGTTTTAGAACATGTCTGTCACCCTAAAAAAGTCCTTATATCCACTTTCAGTCATTCCTCATTCCCAGGCCCAGGTAACCTCAAATCTCTCTCTTTTAAATTTTCTATATAAAAATAGTGCAATACATTGTCTTTTATAACTAGCTTATTTTCTAATATTTTTAACATTTGTCCATCTTGCAGTATGCACCAGTTCATTTTTTATTGCTGAGTAGTATTCCACTGTATGGCTCTGTTTTGTATCATGCTTTTTTTTTCCTTTTTGCCTAATGAGAGTCAGATTTTCTCCTATATGTCAAAAGTTTTTTTAGTTTTAGTTCTTATTATTCAAGTCTGGGACTCTTGAGTTAATCTTAGTGTATAGTGTGATGTCTAATCTTTTTGTGGGTAGAGATCCTGTTGTTCCAGCCTCATTTGTTCAGAAGTCTATCCTTTCCTTCATTGAGTTTACCTTTGGTCCTTTACTGAAAATCATTTCACCTTAAATGTAAATTTATTTTCATACTCTCAGTTCTGTTCCATTGATTGATATATCTATGTCTATTTTTATACCAGTATCACAATGTTGTGATTGCTGTTGCTTTATAGTAAGTTTTGAAATCAGGAAACATTAAGCCCCTCATCTCTAGTTTTTTGTGATCCTTTGCATTTCCATATAACTTTGATATCACCTTATAATTTTCTTCAAAAAAAAAGCTTGCTAGGGTTTTGGTAGAGATTTTGCCCAATCTATAGGTTAATTTGAGAAACATAGCCATCCTAACAATTTTGACTTTTAAAATCCATGTATGTGCAATGTCTCACCATTTATTTAGATCTTACTTTCTCCCAGCAATGTTTGTTCTCAGTGTGCAAACTTAACATATCTATTCTTAACTTTATTCTTAAGTGTTTTCTTCTTTTTGCTGCTAGGAATAGAACTGTTTCTTTAATTTTTAGATTGTTCATTACTAGAAGATAGAAACATCGGTGACTTTTTTAAAAAAATCTTACTGATCTTATATTCTACAACCTGGCCAAATTATTTATTCTAGTACTTTATTGTGGATTATTTAGTATTTTCTACCTACAGGATCATGTCATTGGCAAATAGAGTTTTATTTCTTCCCTTCCAATCTGAATTTTAATTCAGATATTTTATTCACACATTAAAAAAAAAAGAAAATACCTACATAAGTTGTCTACCCTTTTTCATAACATGGCAGCACACTTTACTATTCTCAAGTATCTGTCTTTAATTTCAATTCATTTTAGTACTTAACATTCTCTTTTACATTGCAGAGAAGGTACAAGTATTATAGTGTGCTACCCACCAGTCGTATCCTTGTCCTTTTTGTACTTGATTTTTTTAACATAGTAGTCTCAGTTTTTTTGTTGTTTTGTTTTTTGTGGGTCACTGGGGATGGAATTCAGGACCTTGTGCTTGTGAGGTGGGCATGGTGCCACTGAGCTAAATCCCTGGCCCAGTCTCATAGTTTTTTTTTATAGTTTACTATCTAAATAATTATTCTAACACATATTATTTTAGAAATGAAGATTTTGTTCCTTTTTCTAGTTGGGGAAACTGTCATAAGTTGTGGCTTGAGAGACAATTGGTAAAGGGAAGATCTGAGACTAGCTCAACTCCTTGAACTCCAAACCTAGAGCCTTTTCTCTTGCATCAAAGTTGCCACTGGGTTGGGGATTTAGCTTAGTGACTCCACTGCTTGCCTCAAAAGCACAAGATCCTAAGTTCAATCCCCAGTACCCCTCCCCCAAAAAGAAGTTGCTACCATGCCTGCCCCATAATGTGCAGTCCTTGACTCTTGTCCTAACTAAACATCTTTTTGTTTACTCCTTATATTATTTTGGATCCTGACAGCCATTCGGGCACACCCCTGTGCATATTATATAGAAATTCTCCCAATTCCCACTTCTTCAAATACTGATCTGTAAAATATTAAGACAAAATAGCTAGGGCCAATCCCAGTGACTGGAATGCAGTAGTTGCTTAGCATTTGTTGCCAAATGCAAAATGTATCACTTAGTAAAGGCCTTCATGTTAAAAGTAATATATGGACAAGGTTGACTTAGCCAGTTATTCTACCAATTTTTATTATTACTTAACTCATATAAGTCCATCTTTCTCTCAAACATGCCATGAGATGTTTCCCCATTTTGTTCAAATCTAGCTATATAAACTACACATTCTTTTTTTTTTTTCTTAAGTTTATTGGTACATTTTAGGTATACATTACAGTTACATTCATCATTGGGATCTATCTTGATTCTTATTTTTCCTCATTCCCTAGCCCTCCCTTCCCTGTTTACAAAGACACTGTTTCCATGTTTTTCCTTTTCACGTATTTTTTTCTTTTCCCCTATAGACTGACTACACATTCTTTTGGTTTGCCAGGCAAGTAACCATATCTGCCAAGAAAACTAGGCTACCTGGTAGGGTTCTGCTTGCCTTCCAGAGTCCTGGCTGAAATTTGGTAATCTTTTCTTTGACTTTGAAGTGCCTACAAATTATCAGATTGGTGGTCAATTCTAAATTTTACAATTGATCAGTGTCACATTCAGCAATTTGAAATGCTAATCTTTCTAAAAATTGGAATATTTCCTGTCTCTTAAGTGTCTAACAAGATTTTGTGGCAAGTTTACCAGGGTGAGCTTGGAATATTTGTTCACGGGAACACAGGCTCTGTTCTGTCTTGTTACTTGGGCTTCATTTTACCCCTACCAAACTTACTTAGGTTAAAAAAAAAGTCACTTAGACTTAAAAATATAGATACCCAGACTCCTCCCCTAGTGATTACAGTTCATTGTTCTGGATTACCCTCTCCCAAGGCATTCTTATAGGGATCAAGCTTAAGAACAACAGTTTTATGCTATATTTGTTTAACTGTATTTTAATGATCTTTTCATCATCCGTCAATATTCCACCATCAACTTCAGTCCATTAATTTATCCTTTATTGTTCTGCTTGCCCTGCACATAATTAAAAAGGCCTTTGGGCTCTTTTTTTTTTTTGTTTTTTTTTTTTTTTTTTTTTTTTTTTAGCAAGACTCAGTCAGTACTTCTCTTGGGACCTTGTAGCTCTTTGGTGTTTGCATAAATGCCTGAATCTGCTCTAATTGGAGAGCACTCTTTACAACTCATCACTTTCTTTAGCTGTCTGCAGACCTCTATCTTGCATCAAAATTATATGTAGGTGTCAACTGAGAATTTCATTCTGGAATGTATCAGGCTAAGGTTGGGCTAGCATCTTCTTCAGAGTTTGTTCTGAGAAAATACCTAGCTTCTTTTTGTCTTGTATAAGTCTTGACAGTTTAGGCCCTGTCCACCTACAACAGCATTCTCTTCTGTTTCACAGAAACATGACAGCTCGTTAACATTGTGCACAAAATTTTTCCAGCTGCATCTCAACGATTTTAATTCAATTAGAAGGGATTCTTGAGGACTTGTAGTTGTAGTGTGTGTGACTTTGCCATTGATTATAGGTAACAAAAACAAACTCTTGTTTTTCCAGGTGGCACACCACATTTCTTCTGATTCTGTTTCATCTGCCAGTAGCTTATTGAGTTTGAACTCTACTCTTTGCAATGAGAAAAATGGGCACATGTTAAATAAGGGCATACAGGCAGGTAAGTCACTTGAAATTAAACTTTTCCAGTGAAATAAAAATGGAGATTCTTAAACATGTTACTCAGTCTCACTCATAATTCTTAAAAAGTGAAGATTAAGACTAAGACTGTGGGTAAGAGTGTATAGAAATAAGTACTCTCAAACATTCTAGATGGAATATAAACTGGTACAACCCTTGTGAAAGGCAATTTGGCTGTTTCTATAAAAACTACCTTGACCTAGCATTTTTACTTTTGGAATTTAACCTATAGATATACTTGGATATGTGCAAATGGCAAGTATGCAAAATTAACCATTGAAGTGCTTATTGTAGCAAAAAGTTAAAATCACCTTAGATATCCACCAGCAATTAAACAGTTAAGTAAAGAAATTGTACTTATACATAAAGTAATCGTACATAGAGGGCTGGGAATTTAGCTCAGTGGTTCCACTGCCTGCCTCACAAGCACAAGGACCTGAGTTTGATCCCCAGTACCAAAAAAAAGAAAGAATACACAGACTGAAGAAGCTTTCTCTGTACTAATATTAGAAAGATTTCCAAAATATACAATTTAAAACAAAAATCAAGATATAGAAGTGTATAGTATACTACTATATATGTTTTTAAGTAAAATAAAGGAGGCAAGAGAATTGCTTGAGAGTAGTTCTCCAGAATGATGGGTTTTGGAACAGAGAGTGAAGAATAGGAAGGGAAAGGACGGTTTCAGTTTATGCCTCTTTATGCCTTTTGATTATAAAATAAAAATAAGTGAACTCCCTTACTTACTAGTTTGTCTCTCTCTCAAGTCTTATCTTTAAGACTTAACCTTTTCCTTACCCAGGAGGCTATTAGAAGTGTTTACTGTTTTCTCGGAATCAGAACTGAAATCTACCTATTTAATCCTTATTTGTTCTTCTAAGTTAAACTTAAAAATAAAATCCTTCTTTCTTTCTCCCTCTACTTTCCTTTCTCTGTAACTCTCCACCCTCCTTCTCCTTCTTCATTTTGCTCTTCTCCCACATTCCATCTTGCTTCCTGCAAAAAAGGGCAGCATGTCTTTGAAGCTTTACAAAAGTTTTACCTGCTTGCTTGAATGAACTTGTGAGCTAAGCCTCAAGGATGCTCCCAGACATCTGTAACCTTTCCCCTCAGGTAATTTGGAGATTGTGACGGGTGCCAGAAAACATACTCGTGATGTTGGCGTGACTTTCCCAACTCCTAGTTCCAGTGAGGCTATATTAGAAGAGGACAGTGATGTGACTTCTTTGTCAGAAGAAAAAATTGAGGAGAAACAGCTCTTTACCAGTTATCTTGAGGATAAAAAGTTAAGGAAGATCAAGGCAAATTCCTATGAAGGTCAGTTTCTAATTCCAGGTTTTATAGCAGAAAATAGTGAATTAAGTCTCTTGCAATGCTAAAATTTTTTATTCCTAAAATGACTAAGTATCTAGAGGGTTGTATCTGCAGTTAAGACAGACTCAAAGGCACCCTGTGGGCCCTTACAGCTAAGCCTACTGTGAATCTATATTACATGTGTCTTTGATGAGACCTGGATGGGGTTATTAAAATGATAGCTCTCTTATTTCTTCCTTAAAAATATTTCCTGTAGGAGTTTCATGGTTTGTTCCTGTGGAAAATGTGAAATCTAGATCTAAGAAGGAAAACATGCCCAAGATTTATGGCCCTGCTGTCTCCTGGTTTGAACCAATTACCAAAACCAAACCCTGGAGGAAGCCACTACGGGAACAGAACTGGCAGAGACAGCACGTGGACAGTCAGGGATCAGTGGCTGACCGAGATGATGGCCAAGGCCCACCGAGGCCATTTGTGAAAGCAACCCTACAGGTATAGTGGCATCAGGTTAACTTTAGCCATATATTTACGTGGGAAAGGGCACGATGTGAACACGATTCATCTGTGACTCGACAGACCGAGGTTTACTCATGTCACCCTCTTTTTTCACAGCTCTGCCGTTCATCTGTTTCACAACAGAAGGACTTGGTTTTTCAGCATTAATCAAAAGCTGCCTTATTCTTAACTTTCTAAATAGTGTACTACCCTAAGGATTTGGGGACAAAGCAATAGAAGGGAGGATATTGTAGCACTGCTTGGCAAGTTTATAGATACCCACTATGGCATTTCCAGAGGTCTGGTGTTTGTATGAACATTTTATCTCCTCCATTTATCCCTTCTTGTCACAGGATTCAGAAGGCACTAAGCCTCTTCTCTTTTTCTTTTTTTCAGTACTGGAGATTGAACCCAAGGCCTTGCACTTGCTAGGCAAGCACTGTGCCATTGAGTACCTCCCCAGCCCTCATCAACCATCTCCAGCCCTCATCTCCAGCCTTGGAGGTTAAAGGAAATGTTATTTAATGAGATATTTGTTTGAAAAGAAATTTAAAATGGCATAATGGCTGAGCCCTTTCCTATCAACGTTTGGGAGAGTTGTAACTCTCATTAGCTTATTTTTTGGCCTATTCAGAGGTATTCCTTTGATCCCTTTGATTTCTCCACTGGAGCCCTCACCTGCAGAGAGGTATCACAGTATTCCTTAACTATAAATATTTTCTGAGCATTAGAAATCAGCTTTCCAAACCTGCTGGGTAGATTCTATTTTTCTGGGCACTTGGATAGAAACTTGCATTAATATTAAGTTGGCTTTTTTCCTCCTTAGGAATCACTTCAACTTCACAGGCCTGACTTTATCTCCCGCTCTGGGGAGCGGATAAAGCGCCTGAAGTTAATAGTCCAGGAGAGGAAGCTGCAGAACATGTTACAGAGTGAACGGGATGTACTGTTCAACACCATGCGCCCCCTGCCCAGGAGAGGTACACCCTTTTGTAACTTTCCTCCTAGTGTCTAGAGAAGGCAAGATAGCTATTCTATTGATGAGTACTGCTAAAAGCTAGTTATCAAAATTGAATGTCACTTTGTGCTTACTAAAGCTCAAATCTCCTTAGGTGAACAGAAACAGCCCTACTTCTCAGTGCTTTCATGATACAAGTAACTCGGTACTCTAATCTGGCGTCTGCATCTTAAAAAGTGACAATGGCATTTTTAAAAAAAATCAGCTCTTGCTCAGTAACCATGAGCAAGTTGTTTATAAAAGTATAATGTTTTCCTGTAAAGTTGGGGCCACTTCTGGCTTTCCTACCTCAGAGGATGGTATTAATAACAACAACAGTAATAAACACATAGCTTTTACTTCTTGTCCATATACTGTTCTCACAGTATCTCTCTTAAGTAGGTACTATTGATATCCCTATTTCACAGTTAGAAAATTGAAGCCGAGAGAGAGAGATTAGTGCTTTGCTAGATTACAACTTCACAATTAAAAGAACTAAGATTTAAACCCAGGTGGGCTGGCTTCAGAGTCAGTGTACTTAACAATTACACTGAGCCTAAGATGTCAATAAAATAATTTGTGAAAGCTGTGAAAACTATCAAGTACTACCTGATGCTCTCATCACAACCTTACCAATAAACCAGTTCTTCAGTACAGCTGTTTGGTCTGTGCTATGGAGTGTTAAGTCTTCAGCAACCACAGCTGGCTATCATGGTCTTTCTACTCCAGTGATGGATTAGAGCTTTTAGAGCTTTCAGTAATACAGAGGGCCTATTGTGGCATGAGTGCCATAGGTTCACCACCATTGGTCTAGTTTAATCTTTGCTTTGGCTTTGGTCTTTTTCATTGGCCTTTGCTTACTGACCTGTACTGCTAGCTCAGGTTAGGGGCACAAAGTCCAGCTGCTCCTATTACAGCTCTAGAGAGTCACACCTTTCCTTATTAAGTCACTGTCCATTGGAAACCATTTCTTCTCTTGCTTAGTCTTCCTTGCTGCCCAGAAGAAGAAGCCTATTGGAAAGAAGGAGATGATTCAGAGATCTAAACGGTAAGGCTAAAAGAACAAGAAAATTATGAAAGTATAAACCAGACTACCAGATAGTCAGAAACTCTGGCTTGTCCCTCAGAGTAAAGCCATCATACTCACATTGAAATATTATGAGAAGGCCAGGGATTTAGCTCAGTGGTGCTGCTGCCTGCCTCACAAGCACAAGGACCTGACTTCAAACCCTGGTACAAAAAAAAAAAAAAAAAGGAAGAAAGAAATATTAGATAGCTAGTTATGAAAGTGGCTTCTCACTTATAGGCCGGGGATTTGGCTCAGTGGTTCTGCTGCCTGCCTTACAAGCACAAGGACCCGAGTTCGATCCCTGGTACCAAAAAGAAAGTGGCTTCTCACTTATAGCATGAAAAAATGAAAAGAAAAACAGCAGATATGATATGAACAAACAAACAATTTACAAACAATTAAAAGATCCCCACTAATTTGAATACATCAGTCAGGCTTGTCTTTATTAGAAACCTAGATATAAATACTTTGAAATAACATTAAATATTTATTTGAGGCTATGCCCACTATCTTAACAATCTTATATTTAGGAGTTTATCTAGTATATTGAGGAATAATGGAATATTCTCTAAGCCATTAAGATTTTTTTTTTTTTTTTTGGTACCAGGGATTGAACTTGGGTCCTTATACTTGCAAGACAGGCTTCAGAACCACTGAGCTAAATCCCTGGCCTCTAGCCATTAAGTTTTTAAAATCCAGTTTCAGGAGCATGCTTATTGCCCTGCCATTTATGGTCTTCGGTTTTTTTTTCCTCATTGAGTTTACTGGTACATTTTAGGTATACAGTACAGTCACATTCATTATTGGGATCTTGTACCTTTACATGACAGGTCTTGGTTCTCATTTTACCCCCTGTCCCTGTACTCCCTTCACTCCTCCTCCCTCCCCCTTTACAAACACTTCATTTCCATTTCTTCATTTTCTCATATTTTTCTTTTCCCTTATTAGCTTTCCCCTACCCTTCCCACTTTCCCTACACCTTTAGCCCCTTTTCTCCTATTTCACATTGTCCGTTATATCATTCGGATCTTATGTACTATTATAGTCTATTCACACCAGAGAAACTATTTGGTATTTACATATGTGTAAGTTATTTATTTCACTTAGGAGTATATCCTCAATATATGTATCCACTTTCCTATGAATGAATCTAATTTCTCATTCTTTATGGCTTTTTATAGAAAAACCACATCTTCTTTATCCAGTTTCCAACTGATGGGCAAATGGGCTGTTTCCAAGATTTAGCTATTACAAACTGTGCCTCTATAAACATAAGTGCATGCATATCTCTGTGATATGATTCTTTTAATTCTTTTGGAAGGATACCCAGCAGAGCTATGGCTGGGTCAAATGGAACCTCTAGTCCCAGATTTTTGAGGTATCTCCGTATTGATTTCCATAGTGGTTGCACCAGTCTGCACTCCCACCAATAATGGAGAAGGGTTTCTTTCTCCCCATAACCCCGCCAACATTTGTTATTGATTGATTTCTTGTTAGCAGCCATTCTTTGTGGGGTGAGGTGGAATCTCAGTATTGTTTTCATCTGCATCTATCGAATGACCAGTAATGTGGAACATTTTTTCATATATTTACTTGCTGCTTTTACTACTTTGTCTGAGAAATGTCTATTCATTTCAGATGCCCATTTTTGAATCGGGTCTTTATATTTGGGGTGGCTGATTGTTTTGAGTTCTTTATATATTCTAGATAATAGTCCTTTGTCTGAGGAGCAGCTGGTAAAGATTTTTTCCCACATTTTAGGTTGTCTCAGTTCTGTTCATGGTTTCTTTTGCAGTGCAGAAGCTTTTTAATAAGATGAGATCCCAGTTGTTGATTCCTTCTCCTAGTTCCCATGCTACTGAGGGTTTGTTCATAAAATCTTTTCCTTATGCCAATGTCTTCAAGAGTTCTGCTTAACTTATCTTCCAGCAAGTTTAGTGTTTCTGTTTTAATATTTAGATCTTTAACCCACTTGGGTTTTAATTTAGTTCATGGCGAAAGATAAGCGTCTAGTTTTAATCTGTGGCAGGTTGAGACCCAGTTTTTCCAACACCATTTATTAAAGAGACTATCTTTCCTCCACTGAGGATGGTTGGCTCCTTTGTCAAAGATGACGTAGCTGAGTACATCTGGATTTGTTTTTGTGTCTTCCAGTCTGTTCCACTGATCCTCAGATCTGTTTCTTTGCCAGTACCGTGCTGTTTTTATCACAGTGGTTTTGTAGTATCGTTTCAAATTGGGAATTGTTATACCTGCTGCCATGTGTCTGTTGCCTAGGATGGCTTTTGTTATTCTAGGTCTCTTATGGTTCCAAATGAATTTTTGGGTTCTTTTTTCTAGTTCTGTGAAATATAGTGTTGGAATTTCAATTGGCATTGCATTGAGTCTGTATAGCAGTTTTGGTAGTATGGCCATTTTCATTTATGGTCTTTGAAAGAAGTGTTTATGCTTATATAGATATGTATACTTTCATATGCATAGAATATCTCTAGAAGAGAAAAGAAAACCTTATGATAGTGTTTTCCTTTTGGGAAAAAGAAATGAGTGATTGGGGTACTGAAGTAGGAGAGAGATTAATTTTTCACCTGTTTATATTTTTTTAATCTCGTGCCATTGCAATTATTAGCTACTCATTAATTAATTTGTGATGGCATATGTTAATCATGAGAATGCCATGCAAAACTTAAGGGTTATATTGTGAGGTTCATTGGAGGCTTGCTTTAATAAGAATAGTTTTACAACTGGCAGAGTGCTTCTGAAGTAAAATTTATCTTATGTAATTGAGGCTTCCCTCTTAAAATCTTATTTTCTACTGCCTTTTTCATGATGTGTAACTTCTATTTGATAAGAGTAACTGACAAATAAACATTATTCTGACCTAGGTATATGACAGACATTTTCTTGAAAATGAAGGATTGAATCTGTCACTTCAGGGAAAACAGCCGACAGTATTTGCTCCCAAAGAGAAAAATTGACCTTTCAGCAGAGAAAGGAATTATAAAGAACTTATCTTCACTACCATTAGTTTGACATCTTTCTAGTACTTAGACTTTTCTGACAAGATTAACAGTGACCTTAACAATTGTGATGTTTTTCATGTAATGTAAGTAAATTTGTCAAGAATTTTGGAAGATTTGCTTAACTCACTGGACCGGGATTTTCAAATGATGTTACAAAAATCAGACATGGATAAATAGACCACTTAAATGCAAGATAGATTGTTTGTTTTTTTTTTTTTTTTTTTTTTTTTTTTTGTACTGGGGATCAAACTCCGGACTTGTGCTTTCAAGGCAGGCGGTGGAACCACTGAGCTAAATCCCTGGCCAACTGATGAATTTTTCTGTGACAAAGTGTTAAAAGGTCACTAATCTGATTTCAGATTGTACTTTTAGCTGATTTTTAAGAAACTACCATTTGTTAAGTTTTCATGTAATATTAAAGAAGTAAGCAGTTATCTGAAAAGAATGTTAAAATATTTTCCAATAAGATGTGTAAGGTAAGATTTTTAAAACGTTTCAACCAGAGTAATTTATAATAACAAACAATGCTCACGTCAGCAGTACATATAACAACAAACAATACAGAAGCAGTTATGAGTCCAGCTGCTGTCTATTAAACCATACATTAAATTTACAAAAAATATAAAACAGTGCTTGCTAGTCTTCTCACTAAAATTTTTGTTTTCTTAAAAAAATAACACCACTTCTTTTAATATGTTCATAGGCTCTTGTTATTTTTTTAGCTTATCATAATTTTTAAGTGAGTTAAGAAATAAATTTTGTTTTGTCTTGATTTGATTTGGTTTTGTGGTGCTGGGCTTTATACATAAGAGGGAAGCCCTCTACCATTGAGCCACATGCCCAGCCCCTAAGAACTAAGAAAATTTTATTTAACTTGTAATATGGTATCAATAGATAAAATCCACATTGGGAATTCTTAATTTTTAGAAGTGTAAAGGATTCCTAAGCCCATATAATTTGAGAACCATTGTTTTAACCCTGTCACAAAATTCAGTTAGGAGAGAGAAATTATACAGCATTCCTTTTGTGGCAGCTAATTACACTCTCACTTCAGCAAGAGGAGTCCTTGCTGTAAGACACTATGAGATTTGCCTACAGGAAGACAAGCATGGCATCTTCTACAAGATATTGATGATTTCAATCATAAATATACTTGTAGGAGGGGACTAAGTGTCCATCTACTTACAGAGAATCAAAGTTTTAAACTTTTATTATTTTTATTATTCATTGTATTGTTTTTATTATTTACTATATTCTATAACCCACTTAACTGTTCTTCTGTTGGAAATTTAATTATTTCCAATCAGAGCATATTTGTCACATGCATATTTGGTTGTGTTCCTACTAACATTAAATCAGTGGCACCCAAAGCCAGATAGAACAAAACCTCATTTTTTATATGACTATGAGACCCTCTACAGCTCAATTCATTCTCATCCCACCTGTTTCCCACATGTTGCCCTGCACTGGGCTTCATGCGGTCCTGGCCTTATTCTTACCTATACTCACTTTTTCCTGACATGGACACTTTTTGTCCCATCTCCTCTTCTCTCTGTGTTCTTTAGGATCCAACTGAAATCTAATCTCCTCTCTGAATTATTTTCTGACCTCCTTCTTTCAGAATAAGTTTCTTCTCCTGTAACTCTGTAGCATTTTGTAGCTATAACTATTATAGTAGTTTTCTTTCCCAGTATTTTCCTTGTGTTTCAAAATATAATACTAATACCTATTCATTATCTTATGTTGAAACAGTACATTTTTGCATACAGAAGGGAAAACAACTTTACCCTTATCTCCTTTGTCCCATTCTTTTCCCAGAAGTATCCACTGTTAGCAAGATTTTATTATATTTTTACTTATCTATGTCTTCCAGATTTTGAGTACTCCAGGCCAGGGTTCTTTATGTCCAGGTGCCTAACAGGAAGCAGGGCACATTGTACAGGCAGGGCCTTTCTGGATAGAGTGGTAGAGCTTGGCGTGAGGTGTGGTGAGAAAAGATCATCTGTGATCTCCTCTGTGCCTTGTGACTTCATTGATTTCTCTCTTTCCATTGGTGCCTTTTCCAAGGATTTATGAACAGCTTCCAGAAATACAGAAAAAGAGAGAAGAGGAGAAGAGAAGATCAGAATATAAGTCTTACCGGCTGCGAGCTCAACTGTATAAAAAGGTCAGTGGAGTTAGTACTGTGCCTAGAACAAAATGGATCGGGTTTATCAGGGGAGAAAGAAATGAGGAGAAAAAGTCTGATATGTTTGGGTATTTATTTAGAATGACCCAAGCTTGAGAAGTAGAGTGAACTGAAACTCAGAATGCACTGTTCTAGTGCTGAAATTTCAAACACAAGGCAGTTATTATTACCAAGTTTCAAATCAGGCTGAGCTTTTCAGCCTTAATTGTATAAGCCACTTGCCATGCATTCAGAATGAAGCCATATTCCACACATAGGAAGCAACTTAGATATCAATGGAAATGCTCAAAACATCAGAATAGTCAGAGTCCCAAAGGATTTTATGCTCCTCATGGATAAGTCATAACAATGGAATGAATTCTACAGCCAGAATTGTGTAAAGAATTAAGTTTGTGAACCGAAGTACTATTGTTCTTCTAGAACTGCTAAAGTAAACTGGAAAATGTGTTAAATGTGGCCTAAGAGGTGTCAGTATTGCAGGTCACACATTTTAGCCCCAGTGGATCAGTGGTACTACAAGTTCAAAAAGCTCGCAGAATAGGGATCTTGCTACCAGTTAATCCCCTGAGCAACCAGACTGACCATTGGGCATGAAGGGCCAGTTATTTCCCTTTCACCTTTCACTGTACATCAGAGGACTCTGAAAGTCAAAAACCCAAAGACCAGATCATATCAGATGGGGTTGGGGAACTGTCTTTGGGTTACCCCATAGAGCTCAGGCTGCTTTTATGGGGAAAAGTCCCTGGCACTGTCCAGTTGGTCTAGTGTGTCGCTATGCAGTGCATGGGCTGTGGCCTAGTTAGTCTATCAGGATTATAGATTATCTGAATCTGTGTGGAAATAATATATGTTGCTTATAGATCATCTTTCCTAAACTCCTTAGGAAAAAAAAATTTTTTTGTCTAATTGCCAGTTTCTGTAGCTAAAGTAACATGAACAAGATTTGGGTGTCTTCAGCAACACAGCTAGGGTGAGTCTACCTTGATGGTGAAGGTACCTGACTTCTTTCTTGACTTTGTTTTCTTCTGCAGAAAGTGACCAATCAACTCTTGGGAAGAAAAGTACCCTGGGACTGACATAAAATTATTTTTCTCAGAGTCTTGGAATTATATTTTTTGAATCTGGAAGAACACAGCCCTTATTTTTATGTGTCTGGTTTAATAAAGCTTACTCTTTGTCCTTTTGTATCCTAGAAATAGTAACTTCTAGGGTATGGAGCGAAGTGTTGGTTAGAATGACTGATAGTACAGGAACAATCATTTCTCCATACAGGCCTTGCCCACTGGGTTATAATGACAGTATCCCTTAATCCTAGTCAAGAGAGAGTCCCTTTTTGTATGTGTCTTTATACTTTTAGAAAATAAGTAACTTTTGATTGACTCATTGTAAAACAGGCAGTAGAGGGTCATTTTCTTCCCATCTGGAACAGGGAGTTGGGAAGTGTCTGCCTGGCATTTCTGAACACATTAGTGGAGGGAAATGGTGTAGAAAGAAATATGACATATGTTTTTGTTACTTTTATCGTTGCTGAAACAAAATACCCATCACCCAAAATGAAAGTAGGAAAGATTTATTGGAGCTCCCAGTTTGTAGAGGTTTAAGTTCAAAATTGGCTGACTCCAAGATCAGGTAGCATGGCAGAGAGCATGATAGAGGAGAAACAGTTCATGGCAGGCAGAAGGCAACAAAGTAGCAAAGAAGCGACAGCAAGACAGCAGCCCTCTTTCTGTCCCTTGTATTTCATCCAGGCTACACACCCTTAGAGCAAATAGTAATCACACTTAGAGTGTGAATAGCACTCATCCTATAATACACACGCAGAACTATGCCAAACCAATCAGTAGACTAACTTAGTAATCACACACACTTAGATCCAGCTACCTTTGGAAAGGCCCACCTAGGACTGCATGAGGCTTTGGGGAAAATCTAGACACAAACCATTACACAGTGTGGCTCATATGGTAAGAGCTGTGTCACAGGCTGTGTGGGAAGTGTCTGGTTAGGTACACTGGGCACACTGAGCCTCTCGGCACACACAGGCACAGAGCCTCCACTCGGCCTCTCTCCACTGCTCCAAGTGGCTTTGGAGGCTGGGTAAAAAGCCCACCCACCAGCCTTCCTTGGTAGGTTTTCCCCCACTCACCCTCTTGTTTATAGTATTGAAGGCTCAAACCACTCATCATCCCACATGAAACCAGTACGTGTAACTCAAAGGCTTGTGAAAAAGATGAATTGATAAATGAGATAATGCACACAAAGCACTTAACCCAGTGCCCCATCCCCTGGAATTACAGCCCCAAAGTTGAGAAGGAAGGTGCTGAGAAAGATAATTATAAGTTCAGTGAACCCTAGGGGTAGTCGGCCAGTGGCCTCAGAAGCTTCCTGGAGGCCATATCAAAGAGCAGGTGTTGCCCCTAAGCACCATGCAGAGCTTTCAGATCATGTCACCTTGGATCTCACTAAAGCCCAAAAGAAGCCAAGAAGGCAGAACTGAGCAAGTTCAATAACTACTTTGGGCCACCTGGAAAACGAGAGGGCTATTTTAAGCCCCTTTTTAGCTCCAGGATGCTGTGGCTATTTACATGTTCCTTAGGAGGTTTCAGCATAGAAATGGAAAGTGTAGCTGTCTCAAAACCTAGGTCTACAAAGAAATCAGGTCAGGATGGAGACAGATTAAGATTGATGAACATACTCCCTTTTAGACCCAGGGCTGTGTCATCCAGACAGCTTCCCGGAGCATGTAGGGTCTGGGCCTAGAGAGCCCCAGGTGGCAGCCAGCCGCCAGCTCCTCTCAGCTAAACCCAGCTAAAACACCTCAAGATTGCTATTATATTGTGGGTGTGCCGGGGAGTTTGGTAACATGTTTTCTAGCTTTGTTCAAACAGGAAATCTAAGGTCTTCACCTTAAAGTGGTATCTCCCCCAGGCCAGCAGCCACAACAAAGCACAAAGTTTGCTAAGAGGGTTGCTAAGAGTTCCCACATCTCCTTGCCTCTCCTGTTTGCAGAGACTTGGCTGAGTGCTGCCTGCAGAATCTGGGCATCTGCCTCCTAGGCAGTCCTTGTGCCTCTTCCAGAATCTTTTCTGATCCCAGAGCTCAGGATGGTTCTCCCACTTTGCATACCCATTTGGGCTGAGCAGCTGGTAGATGCCACAAAATCACTACCTCATGCTGCCATTCCTGTGGCCATCATGCAACTCTGCCTGCCCCCCACCACACCTCCTCTTGTACCAGGATTACAGTACTCTGAAAATGCTTTGCCCGGGCCTGGCAAGACTTAGTTTTTGGTTCTTGCTGGAAGCCCAAGCCAAGGCCAAATGTCCCTAGTTCAGAGTTAGGCAGGATTCAGTCTTCAACTGCTTCTTCCTAGACCTACTTCACTTCTGACCTGAGAACCCCCTGCCTTTTTCCTCCTGGCAGTTAGACTCCAAAATGGAGCTTAGCAGGGACAACTTAGGGACTTAGCAAAAACCTCCGTGAGGGTAGCATCTGTTTCTGCCTGCCTGAAGAAAAGACCCCCAGTGACCACAAGCGCATACAGTTTAGGGTGAGGGCATATGTGAAGGAGGCAGTGTTTTAACTATAATTCCAAATGTATTTTGGGTCCCACCCAAATGATTGTTCTAGCCAGTTAGAAAATAAAGCCAAGCTGAACTGTTAACATGGTCTACATCTTACCTGTTTGGAGTTGGGTGATTTTAATCTAATTCGTTTTATTTTTTATCGGCTCTAAAACTTTATTTATAGCCCTTTCTCAGTTTCTAAATACTCGGGAGAGTTGGACCCATAGCACACAGGGGAAAAACAGCTTTACAAGTGAAAGTAACATTTCTGCAGCCTCTAGGGGGCGTTCTTGACTCAGCTCCACAGACAGCCCTGTTGCAGCTTCCCAAGATGAAAATCCTCATCTGAGACAGTACCATGCCTAATGGAAGTTATTTTTCAAACCTGTCCTGGCCACAGTTTAAGGGGATTACGCTCACAGGGCACACAGATGTGGGCTCATTTTCCTTTTGGGGCATGGCGGGGGGTGGTTCTGAATACTGAGGAGTGAAATTAGGCAGTGTTGGCAAACCTATGGTATGTGTGTTGTTTTAAGTCAAAAATGTCAATGTATGAGGCACTTTTTTTTCTAAACTAAAGTCTCAGTATTCAGGTTTAATTGCATTGTGGGCACTTGGTGATAAATAAGTGGGTTTTGGGTTGCAGTTCTGGTATTTCTCTAAAAGTACAGGGGAAAAACAGCTTTACAAGTGAAAGTAACATTTCTGCAGCCTCTAGGGGGCGTTCTTGACTCAGCTCCACAGACAGCCCTGTTGCAGCTTCCCAAGATGAAAATCCTCATCTGAGACAGTACCATGCCTAATGGAAGTTATTTTTCAAACCTGTCCTGGCCACAGTTTAAGGGGATTACGCTCACAGGGCACACAGATGTGGGCTCATTTTCCTTTTGGGGCATGGCGGGGGGTGGTTCTGAATACTGAGGAGTGAAATTAGGCAGTGTTGGCAAACCTATGGTATGTGTGTTGTTTTAAGTCAAAAATGTCAATGTATGAGGCACTTTTTTTTCTAAACTAAAGTCTCAGTATTCAGGTTTAATTGCATTGTGGGCACTTGGTGATAAATAAGTGGGTTTTGGGTTGCAGTTCTGGTATTCATCTCTAAAAGGTTTGGCCTCACTGACCTATCTGTGGCCTTCCCACTGAGTTACATCCCTAACCCTTTTTTATTTTTTAAATTTAGACACAGAGTCTCCCTAAGTTGCCTAGGCTCGGCCTCTACATGGCATCCTTCTGCTTCAGGCTCCCAGAGTGCTAGGATTATAGGCAGCACCACTACACACGGCTTCTTTAATTTTCTTAGTCTGAACAGCCCCAGCCCTATCTGCTTTTCTACCTTTCAGAGAGCCATTGTTAGTCCTCAGATACTCAGTAGCCTGAACCAAATTTTAGATGTTAAAAGACATGTTGTTTTTAAAATAAAAGAATTTTAAAAATACACGATGAAGCCAGGAATTTATAAATTAAGGTAGCACACATATAAGGTCTGATCAAAATATATTATGAATGTTTAAATGTTTTTAAAAAATTGTAAGTCTGTTTTTCCTTATTCTCACTCTCTCTTAACACACACACACAGCCAGCAACGTCTTACCTTCTGCCAATGTTCCAGTCCTATAGGTGAAATGAGTTTTTGAGTTCTTAAGGCAAGTGTCAAATACCAGTGGTCTTGTTACATGGCAGAAAAAGATACGGTGTCAAGCTGGCTAAGAAATGCCCTCAAAGCCTCTGCTATCAATGGGCTTGGGGTTCAAGGTTGCATTTCCCACTCTGCTTTGTGGCTTGGCGAGAACAGACAGAACAGCAGCAATACTCCCCATAAAACGTCCCTCAACAGCTTTGCTTTCTCTAAACTTCAATACCCTACCTGTGAGTTTTAGACACATCCAAACTCTTTTCTCATCACATTTTGAGACAAAATTTACAAAGAAAATTGACCATTCAAAAGTATACAAATGTGTGGTGTTTAATACAATTCACAATGTTGTGCAACTGCCACATCTGTCAAGTAGCAAAACATTGTCATCATCCCCAAAGGATCTGAGGCTTATAGGAACACATAGTAAGGCACCTATAATAATCTGGAGCTCCTGAGCATTTGTAGATAGAGGCTGGGATAGGGCTGGGTCCCAAGGTTGACAGATCTGTGCCAATGGGAATGCTGTGTGACAGTCATACTAGTCTCCATGACTGGGTGCAACTGTCTCTATCACTGCCTCAATTTTTTCTCACGGGGCCATCTCCCTCCTCTTTGCTCTGTGATTCTGCAGCTTCTTTGTATATAGGTGGCTCTGTGTTTCCAGTGAGGCTGGGAAGTTAACATATATGACACCTGTAGCAGCTTTGAAAAACCCTTTGTTCCTTTCTGTTTTTGCTTTGGCTGAACTGCAATGACTTTGAACCCTGTCTGAGCTTCCTGAACAGGACAAAGGCTAGTGGCTCTGGCATCTCCGTCAACCAAAAACATTTGCACAGGTATCCTGAAATCCAGAGAAGTGCCCAGCCAGGTCCAGCAGAAATTGCTTGTGCAAGGGAATCAAGATGGAGTGGTGAATGGGAAAAAAATTCAGTCTCTGAGATCCAGAATTCTCAGACATTGGAAAATAACAACTTGGGGAAGAATAAAAGAGAAGCAGATCACTGGGAATCAGAAACTGACAGGAAAATTAAATGCTATAGAGAATCTGCAGAACTGGCCCACAATACACAGAAGGAAGGAAACAAAACAATCTGAACTCTGCCAGATCCTAAGACCTGCTTATGACTGGTGAGGAGGGGAATCTGGCTCTGCAGAAGCAAGGTGAGTGCTAGATGCTTCCGGATGAAACAGCTTCAGGTGGACTGGGCTGGTGAGGCATGCTCCAGGGGGTGCCTGTGGTGGTTGTGGTCTGCAGGGACAGCACAAAAAGTGCTTGGTTGGGCACCATTCTGTGAAGGGGCTGAGTCTGGGATTCAGAACAGCTGGAAGACAGCTTCACTCCAGAGTTCCACGAGAGACAGCCTCAGTCAGGGAGCAGGATGGAAAGAGACCCTCTGAGGGGTTTGAGATGGAGCCAGGAGGAGACGAGCCCTGCCTGCCAACCCCCACACCAGCTCAATCTGAGCCAGGCCCAGACTGAGTTGCACTGGGTCCAAAAGTGCCACCGTTAAGTACTTGAACTCTCACCCTACTGCCTGCATCCAGCATGGGTCTGGGGTCTGATTGCCTCTCTTATCTATTGGTGTGAGCAGGTACACTTCTTGGCTCAGACATTTACAGTCCGTCATAAAGAGAGGGGCCTCTGGAATAGAGGGGGGATATCTAGCAAATCCACAGACCATGAGACTGGGTGGAGAAAACCGTGAATTGCTGGATTTCAAAACTACAGATCCAGGAAGACCAGTAATAATTCAAAAAATAACAATATCTATCTTTCTCTGGGGGCTTAACTTTTATTTATTTATTTATTTTGCCTTTCCTCTTTCTTTGTCACTGGTTTATTTGGGTCTGGGGAATTTCCTTTGTTCTTTCTTTTTCCCGCCTTTTCCTTTTTCCTTTTAACATTCCTTACTTTAGTTTCCATATTCTTTTTCTTTTTTTCCTTCTCCTTGTCTATTATCTTCTATTTCTCATTTGTTTTTTTCCTGTTACCCCTAACTAACTTTATAAATATCCTTCTACTCCTTAGTAGGCCTTTTTGTCTTCTTTCTCTCTCCTCCTCATCTCCCATTATTTAATTTTTCAAAAATTTCCTCTTGCAGGCCAGGAATTTGGCTCAGTGTTTCTGCCACCTGCCTCGCAAGCACAAGGGCCTGAGTTTGATCCTGTGTACAAAAAAAAAAAGATTTTTTTTCCTCTTGCATTCTCCCATTTATGACCCCCTATAACTTTAATAGTATAACATTAAGCTTTATTAATCTTTAGATAGCTATTGCTGTGGTATTACTGTTGAATTTCTATCATTAGTGGAGATATAGTTGTTGCATTTAGTACATGTTTGCCATATGTCAGTACCTGGGTTGTCTTAGTGTTTATACTATAATTATGGGTTACTTTTCTATGGTTAAGGGTGGTATATTACTGGTTCTTATGGCATGTAAATATTCAATTTGTCCCAAATGATATTACTACTGCTGATTTGCTTGATATTGCCAGGGCCTCATAATTGTTGCTATTAGTGTTTTTTCTGTATGCCAGCACCCAGATTACCTTTGTGACATTGACAATACTGTGGTTCCTCTTTGGAGAACTGGATGTTGGGCCAACATGAATGACTAGTTTAGCAAAGATTTAGAATCCATAAAAAGAGTCCAAATAAAAATCCAGGAGATTAAAAATTGTATTGAAAGTATGAGCAGCAGAAGTAACCACTATGAGGACAGAATAAAAGAATCAGAAGATAGGGATATTTTCAAAGACAAATTAATCAGAGATACCTAAAAAAGCAAGAGAACATGAAAAATTGATTCAATGGCTGCTAAGTAATGCAAGTAAGAGTAGGATTAATTGAAATAAGTGAAAAATCAGAAGGCAGCACAAAGGGCACAAAAATCCTGTTTACAGAAATAATAGAAAACTTTCCAAATACAGAGAAAGTTAAACACACAAATAACTGAGGAACATAGAACCCCAAAGAGCCATGATCCAAAGAGAACCTCTCCACATCATATTATAGTCAAAATACCAGAAGTCCAACACAGGGACAGAATCTTAAAAGCTAGTAGAGAAAAACAACAAATCACTTATTAAGGTAAACCCTTCAGAATTATAGCAGACTTCTCATTACCAACTTTAAAGGCCAGGAGGGCTTGAAGCGTTTCAAGCCCTAAAAGATAACAACTTCCAACACAGACTTATATTTCTGCATACTTTCTTTCAAAATTAATGGAGAAATAAGGTATTTCCATGACAAAGAGCATCTCAAGAAATTCAAGTAAAATGAAATACTTGGGAATTAACCTAACCAAGGAAGTGAAATACTTCTATAATGAAAACTACAGCAAACTTTGAAAAAGAAGATCAAAGAGAACATCAGAAAATGGAAGAATTTCTGAATAATCAGAACCAATATAGTTAAAATGACCATATTTCCAAAATTTAATAGACTTAATAAGTCCCAATCAAAATAATAATGGCATTCCTCACAGAACTAGAGAAAATATTCATCAAATTTATATAAAACCAGAAGAGACCCAGAATAGCAAGGATCAAGGCAGGAGGCATCACTATCCTATACTTCAAGAAATACTACAGGGCCAGGGATTTAGCTTAGTAGTTCCCGCCACCCCCACCTTGCAAACACAAGGTCCTGAGCTTGATCCCCAGTACAAAAACAAACAAACAATATATATATATATAAAAACAATGAAAAATAATGAAAACAAAGTCTTTATAGATAGGGAGGGAGGGGTTGAAGCGAGGGCAGGAGAATGGGGAAAAATAACAACCAAGATTTATTATGTAAAGATACAAATTTCCAACAATGAATGTAATTATATTGCAAACATTAAATGTACCAATAAAATTTTAAAAAAGCAAAAAACAAGACGTGGATCAATGGAACATAATAGAGGATGCAGAAACAACTCCAGGCATATTCAGCTACCTCATTTTTACAAGATCCAACTTAAGCTGGAGGAAAGATAGCTTCTTTAACAAATGGTGCCAAGAAAATGGCTGTTTACATGCCAAAGGTTGAACCTAGATCTGTATCTCTCACCATGTACTAAACTAGAAACAAAATGGATCAAAGAACTGCATATGAAAACAGAAACATCACACTGGAAGACAAAATAGGTAAAACTTTTTTTTTTAAAAGGAGGAAATATTTATTTGGGCTCACAGTTCCAGAGGTTTCAGTCCATGGTCACTGATAAAATAGGTAAAACTCTTGAAGATATAGGCAAAAGCCCAAGAACTAATATGAAGCATCAATAAATATGATTATATCAAGTTAAAATGCTTATGTGCCATAAAAGGAACAACCAACAGAGTGAAAAGACAACCTACATGATGTGAAAAAAATTTTGCCAGTTATTCATCAGAGGACTAATATATAGAATATAACCCCCCCAAACAAAAGACACAATAAAAAATGAGCAACTTAAATCAATAGACACTTCTCAGAAAAAGCAGCACAAGTGGCTAATACATGAAAAAACATTCCACATCACCAGTCATTAGATAAATGCAAATTAAAGCAACATTGTGATGCCATTTCACTCCAGAAAGAATAGCTGTCATCAATAAACCAAACAGCAAAAGCTGAAGAGATTTCAGGGGAAAAAGAATCCTTTTACATTGTTGGTAAGAATATAAATCTGTACAATCACTATGGAAATCAATATGGAGATAGATTCCTCCAGAAACTAAAAATAGAAAATCTATTTTCTATTCCCCACTAGGTATCATCCTAAAAGAGATAAAGACATTATATTACAGTAATACATGCATATCTGTGTTTATAGCATAATACCTGAATCTTGGAAGTTACCTATATGTCCATCAACAGATGGATAAAGAAAATATGGTATGTATCTATGTATGCATGTATCTAGAGACAGGTCTTGCCATGTAGTCCAGGCTTGAACTCACTATATAGCCCAGCTCTGTCTCAAATTTGCAGCAATCCTGCCTCAGCCTCCTGAGTGCTGGGATTATAGGCATGTGATGCCACACCCAGTAAAAATGTAGCATTTATGGAATACTACTCTGTCATAAACAAGAATAAATTTGAGTCATTTGTAAGAAAATGGATACATCGTGAGACCATAATGTTAAGTACTAATAGGGCACTCAAGCTTAAATATTGAATGATTTTTCTTACATAAGCAACACAAATATAAAATAGCAAAATAAAATTAGATCATAGAAAAAAAGTTTTCTACAGGAGTTCTTGAGTTATTAATCAGACATTGGAATTTTATTTTTGTACTTTGTGATGTTTGTAGTATTTGACAGCTTTTTAAAAGTATGTAAGCTTCAGACTTCACCAAACATGGTTCTTTGTTCATGATAATGTCACTATTTTTCTCAAGTAAATAAACTTTTGGATGTAAAAAAAAAAGAAATTGATGCCATAGAGTCTTGAATTAAATAAAAGTTTATTATTATTTGTGTGTTTTTTTAATATAATAGTACCATGGTGATAGATACGTGAAATAGTCACTTTAGAAAGGTAGAATGGAGCAGAGCCTCCACACACACATCCTACTATCAAAAACATTAGACTGAGATGTGCAGAGGCAATGTGCTTTTATTGTTTTATATTACTGATGAGATATCAGGGTTTGCTTTTTGCTACAGCAGAGTTGATCAGATACTGAATGATACACAAGGCAAGAGGTCACAGGGCCCCCTCCTGAGCAGAAGGAAAGCAGTATGTGAAATGAAATAAAGGTGTACCCCTTAGCCTCGAAAGCCAGCTATAGAAGGAATGTCTTGTCTTCTGGAAGCCCATGCCCTGGTAGAGGCCCAGGGCAGCATACTGCAGCACACTGGAAGTGAGGACGACTTCACTGCAGCCCTGCTCCCGGGCAAACTGGAGGACAGTCCTGACCAGGGCTTTCCCTATTCCCTCTCCTCGATGCTCCATAGCCACAGAGAGATGGCGCAGTCGCAACTGCTTCTTCTCCAGTGCAGGATTCTCCTCTGGCAGAGCACACACAATGCCCACCACCTGCCCCCCAGACTCGGCCACCCAGAAGCAGGAGCCGCATGCTCTCAGGTAGGATTTGGTGATGTCAGCCATGTCTGTGCGCAGACTTAGGTCCACACGGTTCTTCCAAGTATATCTGGCAAGGAGCCACAGGAAAGCAAGCAGAATGAAGCTGGATACAATGACCAGGAACCAGGAACCAGAGACCAGGAGTATGGAGAAGAGCACCCCGAGTATGAACAGAAGGGTTTGGGGCAAAATCAGCATTTTGTAGAAGGTGATAGGGATATGCTCCAACAAGCCATTGGAGAACAAGTCCAGGACAGGTTTTCGGTCACTCTCCTGATACTTGCGAATATGATAAGGTGCCATGTTGAGATTTCTGTGTCGAAAATCTCAAAAACCAGGAGAAACAGCTAGATATGCCAGTGTAACTTCCTTGCAGCCCTGGAGAAGAAAGATGAAATGTAAGTTCCACACAGGTATGAGCTCCCTAAGAAGTGTGGAGACTGCTCAGGGATGTGTCTTTCAGCTATCATCCAGGGGAAAGCAGGAAAGCACCACTGAGAGGTTTAGGACCAGAAAGCTGATTGAAACCCTTTACCTGTGTGATCTGGTCAGGTCCTTTAACCTCTCTGAGCCTATGTCTTCATCTGTAGAGCAGAGTAAAATAACACCTGCCTTCTAGGATTCTTTTGAGGATTTAATATAACTGATAGCCAGGCATGGTGGCACACACCTATAATTCCAGCACTTGGGAGGCTGAGGCAGGAAAATCACCACCAGTTCAAGGCCAGCTTGAA